TTTTTTTTTTTTTTTTTTTTTTTTTTTTTTTAATCAGGAAACTAGTTGTCAAAATTCAATCAATTGGTACATAGTACCAAATAGTATTAAGAAAACCATGTATCAAGATTATTTCGAAATTTAATTAATTAACTAATTAATATATAATACCAAAATTGTCTCCCTATTGTTGGTTTCGAGACTAAACTTTCATGGTCTTGAAAATATTGTATTTAAAATATTGTTTGTCATAATTGTATTTTTGCTATCGCAAGATTTCGTTAATCTTCGAGTTTATCAGCTATTTTCCACTTGTTTTCGTTCTCAGTCATGTTTTATTAAATGACATTAAACGATAAAATTTTACAATCTTCATATCGTTACTTTATAATATTAACCTTCCTCACAATCAGCCTATTTATAATTTTAAAAATATTAATTCTCAATAGTTACATCTGTGATACTCTGCACTCTATCAAAATCCATCAGCTGTGTTTCTCAGTTCAATGGATTCTTTCCATTTTCCAATTGAATCACATCTATAAGAGAAAAGGATAATTAATCATTTGCTTGAATATCTGGGAACCAGTAATTACTTCTGATTTTTATTCAACCTCATATTTCTATGAATACAATAAACGCAGCCTAAGCAGAACTCGACGTAGGATGATCAAATCCGATTGGTTTCCAGGATGCAGGAAAGTTTGATCGATGCACGATACCTTCCAATCTAAGCATCGTACAGTAATACGTGAAGAAATACGAGATGCGAAGGAAAGGGGTTAAGTATCCGCACGGTTGGACGCTGGTCGACGAAAATATCGAAAATGTGGAACGCGTGAGACTCGATCCCAAGACGCAACGGGAACTGGGTTGTTTGGTCGGCGAGCACGTGTTTCTGGAATATCCGTGGGCGTACGTGCACCGAGACGTTGTCACGAAACTCGCTAGATCGCCGGATTCCTCTTTGTCCGTGTTTCGGCAAGACATCGAAATTTACGAGGCTGACACGTTCCTCGTAGGCTACTCGTCCATACAGCTGAACTCTGACGAATTTGTGATCTGCCTGACCGTAGAAGCGAGGAACCTTGTCCGACAGCGGAATAAAAATATCACTCGTTTCATTTGGAGCAAAATTATCAACAGAGTAATAAAAACTGCTGGATCGTGGAAGCCTTTGGGAAGTGATTCGGAAGTAGACGAAAGCTTCGTGAGGAATTCGAGGGAATTTTTCGAGATAGAGATCGTTCTACCTGGGAAGCATCTGAATTCTTCTCGAACGCTGCGCGATAGAAACGCGAACGATTCTAGAGACAGTTACGCTCAGCTCGTTAACGATGGCGAGAGATTCGAGAACATCGACAGAAAATGCATTTGCAGAGCGGTTCAGACGTGTCTGCAATCACGAGAGATATTCGTTCAAACGTGCCCCGAATATCCGAAAAATGCATGGACTCAGTATACGCACGAAGATATTTTGAGCGAGTTCATGGTCGAAAATACTGAGGAGGAGGAAGATCAGTCGGAGAAGGAAGAGAACTCGGAAAAGAACGACGAGAACAAGTCGCAAGAGAAAGACGCTGCTCAGAGCGAGGAAAACGATGAACCCGGGGAGAAAACAGCTTTGGAATTATTTTTAGAAGCTCGTTCGCAGGAGATGATTCGTGCAATTAAATGTAACGCAGCTATTAATTTGTATATTGATGACATTGATAGTTTATCCACGGAGAAAGAAGATATTTCGGCAATATCTAAAACATCTGTGTTCCACGAACAGGTGTCGTTCGATGCCGATTTAAATACCATCACAGCCAACAGATTCATTTCTGGCGCTTCTTTGCATCCCAAATTGACAGAGTACGTAGCAATTTTGTACACGAGTAACCCAGAATTTTTGAATAGCAATCAGGATAAAGATAAATGTACGAAGAAGAGTGAGTTTCAAACGAGAGTGCTTCTTTGGAAATTAGACGATCCACTTGGTCTTCCAAAGCTTGCGCTTCAGGACCACAGGGAAATTTATTCTATTTCTTTCTGCCCTCACGACGATAACCTGTTAATAGGAGGTTGTTCAACCGGTCAGTTGGTTATTTGGAATATCGAGGATTTCCTGAACAATCGTGGCAATAGAATCGTGAAACTCGGGACGTCGACGCGAGACAATCTACCAGTGTTTCGTCCGATCCTTGTTTCCGACAAGCATCGCTCTCATCGGCTACCTGTTCGAAAGATTCAGTGGATACCAGCCAAACACGAGACAGAGCCAAATGGAAACTTGACAAAATCATCAGTCTCGTCCGGCCTGAAGCTTCTGACTGCCTCTGAAGACTGTACGGTGGCTGTTTGGAATATTTCTGTCCTCTCGAGACCATTTGCTCGAGGTGCCGAAGATTCTGACGAACCTTTTCAACCAGATTCTCGCGTGAAGATCCAATCCTCCAACGAGAACTCACAATTCACTCCTCTCTGTTTCTGCTTTCCGTCCGTCATTGTTCAACGCGATGCGAGTTCAGCAGACGCGAATAAGTATGACGCAACGGAGAAAGATCGTGCAACGAAATATCTGTGGATAGGCTGCGCAGAAGGGCTAATAACGTGTACGTGGAAAAACACATTGCAGGAAGATTCAGACATCGTGAGATGCTCTTACGCGCACAACGCTCCCGTGACAGAGATCACGCGATCGTTTTATCTTCAGAACGTATTGCTGACAGTCGGTGGACAAGTGTTTGCTATTTGGAGCGACGATCACGTTGACTCTCCCCTGTTTTGGAGAAGAACATTTTCCTGGTATACAAGCTGTTGTTGGGCTAACGAACCTGGTGTATTCTTGGTCGGTAGCCAAGACGGGAATCTCGAGATATGGAATATAAAGAACGAATCTAATCAGCCGACATTCACCCAAGTCGTGTCGTTGCAATCGATTAGTTATCTGACTTTGTTAGACTCGCCTGTATTAAGCGACGCAGGTTTCAAAATGATAGGCGTAGGCGATGGTAGGGGGTTGTTCCGTGCGTTTGCAGAACCAGACGTTTCACGTGACGAGAGTATGGTCGGGAGGATGGATTGGTTCGAGGAATACGTTTGGAGAGAAACGCGGAGAAAGAAGCTTTTCGCCAACTGGCAGAGTGATTTTCTAGCTAATGATCCGGTTGTGGTGGCGAAGAGGTTGGCTAGGAAACAGGAACAGGCTAAAAGAGAAGCTGAAGATGCGAGGGAAAAATTTAGGAGAGAACAAGAGGAGCGTTTGAGGTTGCAAGCGGAGAAGAGGGCGAGAAGCGCACCGATTCCGAAACACGTTGCTTGGAAGTCGAAGGAATTCGACAGGATGAAGCAGGTTCTTTTAAGTAAAAAGAATCTGGTTCCATCGGAGCTTGAAGAGAAACGGATTCCTCTCGTTGCTCTGCAAGCTGAAAGAGAGGCGAGGCTGCGCAAAGTTCGAGATAAAATCGATCATAGAGACGATTATTTCTTAAACGCATTATCTGCGAAATTTCCGAAACTTCTCGAACCGAGAGTGGAAGATTTGGAATTTAAGGAATCTATTTCGGCAGAACGTGGAAAATCGGTGGAATATTATGTTCGGAAATTTGACGAGATACGACGTAAAGCTAATGAAATGTTAGCAAATAATTTAGCTTCTTAAACTGTGCAACCATGCCTTTTTCTATTTGCATGCAAAAATGGAAATAACGGTAAATTAACTCTTGTTATATAAACGTATTTATGATACTTTTAAAGTGTCATCTTTGACGTCAATAAAAATTGAAATTAAAATTTCAAATTCTAAAGACCTGGAACATTTTCACCTATTGTAAAATATATCATAGATGATAAATGTGTTTAAATGTATGACAGGACTACTTGTATTATTTGTGATATGCTTTGAAAATATTCGAACATTTCATAGGAGTATAGACATTCATTCTTCCCAAAAATATTTTTACATTATCTTGAAGGAGATTTGTCTCTCGAAGGTTTTGCAAATTCAAACATCTTCATGGACACTGAAAAATTCTTTTCGTAACTACCTTGAAGATTGAACTCTCCCCTTTGCAACCTTCCCTTAAAACTTGTTGTACCATTTTTATTCATAAAGTTGCAAGAATCTAAAAAAATATCAACTCCCAGGTGTATCTCGTGTAAAGCGTATCATTATCATTACATGAAATATTTCATTCGTGGAAGTATTGAAATTTCAATTCGATATTGAAAATCATTTGATTGAAGGAATCATTTAATTAAAGGCTTGTTTCAATTTGTTCCAGGGTCTTGGCATAATATCCATGGCATGCGCCTCACCAGCATTGGTAAGTGGGACTCATTGGTTCCTATTTGTCGCTGTAACAGCTTTCATTGCCACTCTGGTGTGGTGTTTCATATATCTGTTGTCGATTCGAGAGGCGCTTAAGTTACCTATCAACTGGATTTCATCGGTAAGTGAATCTTCTAAAACAATTGTTAAGGCGGAATTTTCTATCAAACGCAACCCCTTGTACGATTCAATGGAGAAGCGTTTCTTCTCTGTGCTCGATTTTTATATTTAGATTTCTATAACAGAATTTCGTTTACTTGCAAGGTGAAAAGATTATTCCTTATAATTAAATTATAAATATTTATTCCAGTTTACTAATCATTATACGGATTTAATGAAGTATGTAATTCTTGAATCATATTCGTTATATAGTATTCGTTGTAGAATACATATAAGAACATACAAATATACGTATTATAAATTTAATTTATTTTATTTAAATATATATATATATTACATACACGAATTTATAAAAAATTTCACGTATTTGTTTATTGTAAACGTTCTGATCTAATGAGAAAAACTCTAGCGCTTCATCACATATTTCATCATCGTAAATAAATCGTTTGATATTTTTTTTATATTTCATCAATAGTATATGGATATACAGACATGTAACTTTCAAGTTATACAATGTTATAAATTATAGAGGGTTAAATGTGAGGCATTCTCGTCAAGCAGATTTAGTCGAAATATTTTTGACACACACACACACACACACATACGCGCGTCGAGAATATATAGAAAATTCCGCCTTTAGATTGTGAACGTAATTTTACCTCGTACCTACAAGGCATCTTTAATTTCAGGAATTCATAAATACAGGGATATTCACCTTCCTTTACCTGATTGCCTTTATAGTCCAGTTATCTGTTTGGAGTTCGTATACAGGTTCACCTGTCTCAAGGAATATTGCCGCAGGGGTAAGAACAAAAGAGTTTTATTATTGGACTCTAGATATTTACGCAGATTCACAGTATCGAACACTCTGTAATAATTGTGAATTTTGTCAGACAAATTAACGAGGAATTAATAATTAGATAAACCTGAATTTTATAATATAATTGGATAATATAAAAGACTGAGTATGTAATTGTCGAAACCTTGTTTTGTTACCTGATCTCCAGATTTTGTAATTTTTCAATTGTAAATCAGATTGCGAAGAATCTTCTGAGATTGCTATTAAATACTGTTAAATCATAATAATAATTACAATAAAATTACTATTATATTATAACATTCGTTTTAAATTACAATTTCTTTCAGTCAATTTATACCACCACGTTTTATTTCTTAATACCTTATCTATGAAAAAAGATATTCGATATCAGTTCTGTAGTTGGATGAAATTTCGAGAAAAATTTATGATGTCATGATATAAATCATTGCTTGGTCCTTAAATGAGTTAACGAGTTCGGTGGAAGTCGTAAAACTTGGTTGATTTTCACCTGTTAACGAGCAGATACGATAATAAAACGACATACACGATAATAAAAATTCCTTCGTTATTTGCGCAGACCTTTGGAATCTTCAACACGATAGCGTACGCTGCCGGGACGTATTTCCTCTACCTCGAGTACAAAAGCAGCAACACGCAGTGAAAAGAAAGCAGAGGGTACTCGTAGAGACGCCAAGGTACCTGAAGAGCACCTACGACGAAGCTACTACACTCCAAGTTTTCCGCGGTCGTTCGTTCTACGAGCAACAGAGTTCGTAGAGAGACAAAAGGGTCGAAGCTAGTCCAACCAGGCCCTTGTCTATTTCACGTGTGTAGTAGCTTAACGAGAGACTCTGTAATATACATACGTGCCTTAAAAATATCGATCGAAGTGGCCGATCGCAATGCAAGATCGGCGGATGTTTGCGGATATTACGGTTTTCTGGGATCATGCTCGCTGAGAATCAATCGGAGAACAAAAGCGAATAGTAGTGAACAGATTGATATTGAACCGAAACTACTCGATACTGATGCACAAATTACAATATTTTGCTGTGTATTGTTTAAAATGTAGATACGTTTGATGTTTTTGATACTCGCTTCATACTTGTATGAATGTATCGATAATCATTGACATGTACGAAGGTAAAAGCAATTAATTTAATCAATTGCAAAGTGTAATGACTCCTTTCAGTAGTATGAAAGTCTATATGTGTCTGCAGATTTCAAATATTTCAAGAAACTTTCAACATTGTGTAGATGCTTTGAAACAACTGTATTTAAAAAATATTTGAAATTTGATGTACACTACCGTCACTGGCTCTATTATCTACAATTTAAAAGATATAATATTTAATATTATAGATATAAATTATTGAACAAATATACATCAACAGAAGTATCATATTTATATCACATTTTACACAGTCAAAAACATTGAAATCCTCCAAGTATAAAATATTATTCTATTAAATACAAAATCATTTACACGAAAGGTTTCAATGCTTTTGAATACCTTCAATTACTTTTGAGCAACATTTCGAGGTGATACTTTTCGACTTGATATCGATCCAAGATGTGACAGCATGAATATCTTAATTTAAAATTTCAATAACATCTTATTCTTCTTTCCATTCGAATATATTTATTCGAATTGATGGAATATCATCAGTAACATCGGTATTTGTCTGATCACTATAATTCACCGCAGGACGGGTTATTGCGCCGAAGAGATGTCAACGATTCCTCAAGGTTTCTGTTTCGACGAGATTTCGTGGATTCTCTTCGTTATGCAGTTCAACTTTCTTCACTGTACAAACTTCAGATATACATACATACATACATGTTAAATAAGGAAGATGTTAGCAGACGTTAATTAAAAGTAAACTGTGCTTCGGAATCGATGGAATCCATATTGGATGTCGATCGTTTGTTTTTGGGCTCTATGCAATTGAATTGTTATATTTTGATCGTTAATGTACCTTACGCGGCACTTCCCGTCCACAATTTTCTAACCGTATCTGTCTCACATTACCCGCGATACTTTTTATTTATATCGATACACGCATTAGGTACTATCGGACCGCGGATTTTTATGCAAATTCGTATTTTTTCAAAGATAATCGAAAAAAATGGGATCTAGACATAGAGTTTGTTTCAGCTATTAAATATTACAATAATTATTGTATTTTCGATGTTTTATATATTTTTTGTGCATTCTACGTTTTCTTGTAGCCTCGGACGGTGAATGGTAAATTCGTTTGAATGCAATCGTCTTTGCTTTGTTAATTTTTTTATAACAAATTTACGATCTGTTACCATAGTCACTTGTCATTTTACAGTGTTCTGTTTGAATTTAATCGAAGCTTGGTAATCAAAATTTCAAGGAAAAGTCGCTTTCTTCATACCAGATTTCATACCTTCTTTTAGTTGAAAGCTTGTTGAAACGAATAATTCGTTTTATAATTCGAAGAATTTTCTTTCTCTTTCTTTGTGACTCAAGCTAGTGAAATTAAACTGTTGTATTATATATACAATTCCTTGGCAATATTAAAGTGAAAAATTAAATTAATTATTACGGAGATCAAGCGGACTCTGTGTTTTAACCACAAGTTCAAACAAATTTCCCGCAATTGCATGAAAGTCCGCAGTCTAGTTATTATACGTTTATATATATATATATATATATACATATATGTTTTATATAGTTAATATATTTGCACAAACTGAACGCTGTACATCGTTTTCTTTTTTTTTCTTTCCTCTCTATTTTTTATTTGTCTCTCACTCATAAAAAAATACTTGTGTAATTTACATACGTTCATTGATGTTCGTTGCTGCGTGAATGACGATTTTTGAATACATTATACTTTTTTTTCTGTACACATTACCATTGAAATATATGTTCGTTTTTTGACATTGTCTTTGAAACTTGTAGAACTATTTCACGTCTCCTCTTATCTCATTGTCGGTGACTCGAGTAGAAGAAATTATAAAAATGTTTTAATAACATCATAGCTTCTCTCATTCTACGAACGAATGACGTACAAACGTCAGTAAAATGGCTATTAATAAATCGTTAAAAAAAAAATTGTGAAATAATCCCAGAAAGTTGCAGTCAGTTTTCTTGTATTGAATACCAGTTTAAACTACAAATCTTGTTCCCAGATAAATGAAAGTGCAAAAAATAAGGGAAAGTACATGATAAAATAAAGGATATGAATTCATGAAGCGTGCACAACAGAAGACAATATATAATAATGAAAATGATCAAGAATAATAAACGACATAATCAAAATTCCAATCAATGCCTAAAT